TTTGGGTAGTCCCTCCTGGTAGTCCTCAATGGCGATCTCGTGCACCTCAGGTTCCAGATCAAATGAGATCCTGCGATCATCAGAAGACTTCTTTGCACTGGCTATCCTCGGTGAGGTATAATCCATAGAATCTTCATTGTCGCTATCAAAGAAGGAATCAATGGTAATGGGAGTCGCCTTCTTCTTTGGTGTCTTCTTGCTGGTTCTCTCTGAGGATGCTGAAGGCGATTTATCTGCATGCAGGAATTTACATTTGCTTCCGAACTTGCAGGTACCCTCTTGCCAATTCCAACATACCTTCTTTTTGGGTCCAGCTGAAGATGAACTTCCTCTACCTTTCCCTCTTGATGAATCTCGACTTCCGCTTCTGCCTTTCTTACCTTTCATCTTGGCATCATAGACCTTCTGAGAATGACTGTAAAGACATTTGTCACCTTTGTTGCATCCTCCCTTATTGAAGAAGTAGTTACAGAATATCTTCTTCTTGTCAACGGGTGAAGATGATCTTCCCTTCCCACCTTTGCCTTTCTTGTTGTTCTTGTCGGCATGGGATTTCGGAGAAGGTGTAGGAAGTACCGATGCAGCTTCACTCTTCGCTTTCGCCTTAGGACGTTTGGGAGGATCACCTGTAGACGATGCGGTCGCTTCATTCTCCTTCTTGGTCTTGACGGGAGCGGCAGGCTTGTCTGCATCTTCTAAGGCAGGTGTCGTCTTGTTGAAGGACAATGGCAGTTTCACTGCACGTTCTCTATCTTTCAACAGTCGTTCTTGCTTCCCTCGTGCTATGTATCCCTTGATCATACCAGTTAGGTAAGCATAGGTCTTCTCAGGATGCCCTTCATCAAAGGTTTTGTATCGGTTGATATCGAAGGCCATAAGCTTTGAATGTTCAATCTTCCGGAACAATGTGTCACGCAGGGAATTGTTGGAAGGCAGATCATCATGTTTCATATTGTATACGATGTCAAGCCACTTGTTGTAGAAGGCCTCAAGTTGGTCATCTCCATAGTAGTTGAACATATACAAATGATGGGCATTGTAGAGAACTTCAGTGTGGTCAGGTGACTTGAAGCTAATCAATATCATTGCAAATAGTTCTCGTCCCTTGATGAAGTCCCCACTCCTCCCATACAATTGGTTCTTCATGGACATGTCATACTTCACTTGCATGGACTTGTCCCCAGCATTGTCAATGACTTTCCTCAAGGCGTTGGAGAGCTTGGCATCAATGGATTGGAATCTCACATCAGGAGCTTTGGCCAGCGCCTCCAAGTCAGGTTGATCTGCAAGACACGGAGCTAACCACGCTTTCCAATCTTCATAGTTTCGATCTCCACTTGCAACGCAAACTTCATGAACAACACTTCCCTTCCAGGATGAAAGTTCAGTGGTCTTAGGCCAGGGTTGGAGGCTGATCTTTTCGGCTTGTCTTAGAGATACAGATGACTTGGATCTATCCCTTTCAAGGTTCTCCAACTCCTTGACATTTGTGTTGTACTCGTTCCTGAGCTTCTCGAAGGCTTCAGCTTCTGCTCGATATTCCTGCTCTTCATCATTGGCACGATCTTCAGCTTGAGAGAAATTGTTCTTATAGTAATCTTTACGATCTTCCATCTTCTTCAACTCATCTTGAAGATTTCGAACTTCAGCGTTCCTCTCTTGCTTCATCTCGTCCAACTCTGCTTTCAGTTTGGCACACTTCTCTTCACATTCATTCCGAGGCATGGCATTACTGGGGTACCCATGTAATGTAGTCGGTCTATTCATTGATGAAGAAGAATGAGCTTGGTTTTCCAACTTCAGGGCAGCAATGGTGCTCGACATTTCTTCTACCTCAGCGTAACGCTCATTGGCCAATTGATGCATCTCGGTCAAATGGCTTTCAGGAATGGAATAGTCAGTCGCACCTTTGATCACGAGTCTTCTGTCGTTCAACATCTTGATGGACTTACCTGCATCCCTGTGAGCACGCTCAAGAGAGTCCTTTTGGGCTTCAAGTTCAGTATGAAGGCGAGCAATAGCTGTATCCCTGTCATTGATTTCATTGTGCAAACTGTCAAACAAGGTACTCGTCACATTCGGATTGTTACTCATGTGATCGATCTTGTTCAGAGCATCTTGATATTTCTTACCAGTTTCATCAAAGTTTCGCTGGAATACTTTGAGCAGGTCCTCAGTGTCAATGAGTTCAGATCTATTCTGCAAGTACAACTTGTCAACCTCAGCCTTAGATTCCTTCAAGCTGTCACGTTCACGCACGGCTTGCATGTACATCTCATAGAGAGGTCCTCCATGCGGTGATCTGCTTGGTGATGATCTTCTGGCTTGTTGACAGGAAAGTTCATGATACTGATTCTTCGATTCAGTCAGTTGCTGTTGCATTCGATCTAAAAGACTTTGTTTCATGTGTAGTTCAGAACGTAGTCCCATGATCCTCATGTCCCGCATGCCACCTGATTCAGCTAGAGATTCTTCAGAAACCCTGTTCTCAGAAATCGCTAGTCGAGATTGTAAGTTCTCACTGTGGATCACCTGCAATCGAAGCTGCGATTCTTCCAAAGCTAAGTGATGTTCACATTCTGCATAACGGTCATGTTCAGATCTTATGTTACTACGGAACTCCTTCATGATCTCGTCCCTCTTCATGTCAGCAGCATCGAGCTCAGTTTCCAGTCGCCTGACGTTCATGGCCATGGTGTGCTTCATCGTCTGGTTCTGATTAGCAACCTCGAGCATCTCGATCTGTAAAGCACATGTCTGGTCGTTAGCATAGCCGACCGCTAGAGCTTCCTGCTTGGCATTCATCTCTGCGTTTTCCAGTTCCAGTCTGAGTTGATTGATGTGAGCATTCGCATCAGCGCCCACATGCACCATAATTGCGTTCGCTTGTCCCATTTGTTCATCGAATTCCGAACGTAGTCGTGAATATTTGAATTCCAAATGAGATGCAGCTTCATTCGACATAGTCTGATACCTTTCCAACTCTTCGATCCTGTAGGTCGCACCTTCGTCTTCTTGTTGTGCAGCCTGTAACTCGAAGTTCAGCATCTGGAGTTGTTCGGTCATCGACATCATCTCTTGATGAGTGGTGCTTTCCAGGAAATTAAATTGTTGATAGGCATATGCTGTCGTCTCGCTTAATCTTGCCTGAAGTACGGATTCTTCTTCAGTGGCCCTTTCCAGTGATGTCTTGTATTCAGCTAATTCACTCTGATAGGCAGTGAAGATGTCGCTACCACTTGATGGGGCGTTCACTTGTTGATAAGATCCTGTCCCTGATGGAGTAGCGTCCTGAATCGGTGAAGGCGGATTCGACGACGTAGTCTTTGCCTTGGTCCTTGGAGTCATCGGAGGCGACAATTGTCGTGCAGATGATCTTCTCTTTCCAGGTGTGCTGTCCCTATCTTCAATTGCTTGCATTGTCGAAATTTGTCTCCCTCTAGGAGCAACCAGAGGTCGCCTGGGTAGGCTTGTTCTCAATTCTGAGGCATCGCTTCCACCAGTGTCGATACTCTGTGAAGAATTTGACTGCGTGCCGGCAGCTGGTGCAACGGCATGTCCAGAGAAAGAAAATGCATTATCGCTGCTATCCTGTTCAGTCATCTGTAAGGCCCGTGGCTCCCCGCTCGTAGGCTCCGTAGGAGTCCTACGGCTGATAACCTGCGAATCGGTGATTGTCTGTCCGATTATGTCCTGATAGTCAATGTCAAAGTGGATGTTCCAGTGATGACGTTACAAGGGCATCAGCTTCCGCATTGCAATTGTTTTCTCTGACGCTGCAGTGGGTCTTGAGCCAAAGAGGTCGGTTTCATGTACCCCTTCGGCTGTGGATCTTAGAGTGCCTAATAGTGATAATGTACACTGACCCGTAGCCTACACTCTATTCGCATATATATATATTATAAACATATTGTATAATATATATATATATATGTATGTATGTATGTATGTATGTATGTATGTATACATATATTATATATATATGTATACATATATTATATATATATATATTATATATACATATTATATATATATATATATTATACACACATATTATGTGTATTATATGTATATATATATTAAACATATATATATATATTTAATGGCATATTCATACATATTCTATATGGAAGGTAAGGGAATATTATCATGGAATGTCATGGAATATCATGGATATGTGTATATCAAAAGGTGTATCAAAAACACGTCCTCTGATATCCCAAGTGTCCCACACACTATCCCAAGGACTGCAAGCATGGAAGCATCATCTCTTTCAGTACACTGCCAAAATTTGTCTCATGTTCAAAGAGAGTGAAGTTGAAGTTTCATAGCGCTGCAAGGCACACATGGTTCTGACTCTTGGTGAGTCAAGTTAATTCGTCATACATAGCAGCACCTGGACAATATGCATCTCCAATGTTGGATTGTCCACGATCATCCAGATATCACCCCCCGACTATCAATATCCCATATTTGTGATCGTCCTTAATGGCTGTACTTCTCTAGCCATGTTGATTGTTTACACAATCATTCTCATCAAGTTCTTTTCAACTATAACTTTTCACAGTTTTATGGTGCTCTGGCTACCCCCCTTTTGAGAAAGCCATATTCATAGATAGCTAAGGCTTCCCATTCGCTGTTGTATCCCCGACTCATAGTATCCCCTCTTGTTGCTGATCATCTGAGTGAACACAAATCTTCCATGGTTCCCCCAACTTTGGACAGCAATTGTTCCACCAAAACAAGGCCAAACCCTGCAAGTTGATTCAAGATATTCAAGTTGAGAGGTCCTCAAAAATGACCCATAGATGACTTTTGACCCTCAAGCTGCAGGTAGAATCTGAAGGTTAAGGCTAGTGGGACTTAAATAAATGATTTCAACTAACAAAAAGAAATGGCACACACATAACAAAACAAGACAAACAATACAGCAGCATCAGCCCTGAAACAGTCCTTGGAGAAACAACTTCTTCAAAATGACCCGAGCCATGCCGAGCCACGGTGCTGTCCCTGTTTTCGGAAGAGCTCCGCCAACTGCTCAGGTCGCGTGGCGTCCACAAGGCGCTTGTCCTTTTTTGGATCTGGCAATTTCAAATGAAGCTCTGAAGCTCTGTACATGTTTGAGCAACCAACACCAAGATTATGACATGGATGTTTATTTTAATACATTTATATATATTTATTATACAATATGAATATTATTCCAATCACAATCAAAGGACTGGACCAAGTGGAAATACTGCCACTTCTAGATTCAGTTTCCAGCAAAGGTGGTGATTTGAACCGACTGATCTGAGCTTGGTGGACCATTCCAGTTTCGAAACATGTTCCGCTTGGTGCTTTCAACCCCCCTGCATAGTATGTGAAGACGATGGAATCACCATCCCAAAGAATTACGGGTCAGATCTGACCAGTGATTATTTGGAAACAACCAAGCAGTGTTTCACATCTCCAGATATCTCAAGGTCTACTCCAAGAACCGCATCTGATGTCCCAGCCTACCCGGCAGTCCTCCCGCTTCCGCATGAAGCGGGGAAAGCGCAGAGACAGGCCTTTCTTGGGGTCCACCAAGCCACGTGCTGCCATGTGCTTGGGGGAAATGGTGATGTCCTCGGGTTTTCGATGGGGTTGATATGGGTGGATCATGGGGGGATGGGGATGAGTTTGGTGGAATAACTACCCTCTGGTAATTTAACATAACTATTAACTATGGAAAATCACCATTTTTAATGGCAAAATCCACTATAAATGGTCATGTTCAATAGCTATGTTAAATTACCAGAGGGTACAGTAACTACTTGCTCCAGAATAAGCCTAAATTGTGGTTCAAACATGGTCTTTTCTCCGGGTCGTATGTTGTATGTCTGGTACAGGCTGGAAAAAAGAAGGTATGAAATATCATGAAATAAATGGCATCTTAAATAGTCTTGGAAGCAAAACCACAAATCCACTCATTCCACACCACAAAGTCCATTCTGTTAAAATTGGCCTTTTACCCGATGTGTGGACTGTATCATCATTCCAATCAACCTACACGCAAACGCACTTATATTGCAAAACATACAGTGGCTTCCTCTCAAGAATCAAGCACCCAAGAAACAACATTGGAAGATATTGAAAGCAACCATCCACCACTTGAACATGTGAATTTCGATAGTCAAAAAATGGCAAAAATCATCCCAACATCATCCCAACATCATCCCAAATCCACATCATCCCAAATCATCCCAAACATCTGCACAAATCCCATCCCATCCCTTCGGCCCAGGTGCTGCACCACGGATCTCCCAAACCTCGCAGGGCTGGAACCAAAAGGCCGGCGCCTCGTCGGTCTCCACCCCCTCCGCCGGGCGCTTCAGCTGCAGCCCGCTGGAGCCGCTGCCGCTTGCGCCTTGGGAGATGGGGCCGGAGGTAGAAGTAGATAGATCTTGTAATAGATATTAGATATCTATGATTGGCAAAAAAGTTGGATGAATTCTTGGTTCCTATTCTTTCAACTTGTTTGGCATCTCAGAGCTAGGTCTCAAGGGGTCAAAACTGCTGAGTCGTGGTCAATTTTGGGTTCACACAAACACCAAAACAACATGTTTTTGGGGGACATGATCTGGAATCATGGGCACCTAACCAAACAACCCATAGACGTGAGCAATCATGGTCTGCCTTTCTTGTACTTTTTGAGTGACACAAATTTTCACATTTCCATTGCCACAGCCATTGCTGCCAAAGGTCTGCTTTTCGCGACTGGGATGGCTTCTTCATCATCTACCTGCTGGGTGCACAAGCAGGCGAACTCAACTCCCAAATAAATGAAATAAATGAACACTGATTGGCAGAAAATGGTCCTTGTTCCGTGCTTACAACTTGCAATCAAATACAAACCTGATTTCCCAATCATCAATCATTTCATGTTGAGGACTAGATCTTTCAACCCCCAAGAAAGGGCTGATGAAAACCTGCAGTCCATCCCAGTTATCCCAGATTGCAGGCACCTCACTGTCCCCGAAAAATTCCAGGTCCCCGCCCAGGTGCCTCTTGCTCTTCAGATGCTTCTTCGCCTGCGAGTTATGGTGGTCTCTGGTATCTCAACATAAAAAGCTTGGGATGGAAGTAACAAAACGCAGAAAGACAAGACAAAATATCAAACAAACATCAAACAACATGTAGGACCAAGTAGGATACAACCTATCATGATTTCAGAATGGTTGACTCCATCCCGATGCCCCGAGGTTTTCACAAACCGTTGCCATATCGGTGAAATCCTAGGGATACTATCGCTCGTACCCCACCCAATAATCGCATACCCCAAATTGGGGTATCATAATGATAATCGATAATCCTGTCCTTCTCATTCTATTATCACTGGTCATGATGGTCATGATCATTAACCAGGCACGCAAATACATATCAATATCGCTATCTATCAGTACTTACAGTGCTAGTAGAGATGGACGACAATATAGCCCTCCCGAAAACAATGGACAAGTAAATTCCACAAACATACCTTTCTATAGTAGAAATACCTAAAATAAAATACCTGAAAAAGAACAAAACCTCTACACAACGTAAATGCCTATTTTGTTTATCTTTTTTTGGATTAAGATGGATTAAGTATACATCACGTATATAATCTATCACTATAACATACTATAACTACGTAATCGTATACCCCATTACTCAGCACTCATCTGCTATCCATTCCTCAGGGCCTTCGCCCTCCTCTTGGGCTTCCTCCTTGTCTCGCGTGCCGTCGAGTTCGTGACCCACGTAGCGGATGGTGTTCTCCTGACCGAAACCACAACGGGTGTCACGAACGGGGTCCTGGACGATGAATCGGGGGAGATGGAACGGTTACAGTTTTTGGATTGATTTACAGTTTTATATACTGGTTGGTGATATACCTATCCCTCTGAACAATATATGAAAGTCACTTGGGATGATTATTCCCAATATATGGAAAAATAAAAAATGTTCCAAACCACCAACCAGTATAATACAACTAGACATAGGGGAATCAGACAATGCAGAACAAGAGAAATCCTGAAGCAGATCAAGTACAGAACCAACAGCTGTGGATGTATCATGATGTATGTATCTAACTTGGGGACCTTCTATTTTCTGCAGGTCATTGTCCAATTTTGGTCGTGGAATCACCCGGTGAACTCTCCTTTGGCCGGCCGTCCTTGTAGAACTTGTCACTGAAGCCGGACATGACGCGGCACACGCTGCCCAGGGTACCATCCGTTGGATCGTACCTGGAGATCGCCAGGTACGTTGTGCAATTTAGGACCGATATGGACCGATGTCTGCCTCAAAAATGGTTCAACATGGTCATGAATTCAATGGTCCTAAATTTCATTCTAGGTGATTGTACCATTGAATTGACAATTCATGTTGAACCATTGTGATGTATTCCGTCGTCTAAATGTGGTACTAAAGGGCCCATTGTCTTGAGTCGATCATTTAAGCCATCGCCATCGACAAATTTGCAATCATCCACCCCAAAAGCACACAAGACATTAAACCAATGTGCCTTTGGTTCTAATTTGTTGCACAAATGTGGTCAAACATGGGCCGCACGCCCCAAATTTTCAAGCTTTTTCCAGACAACTGACTATCTTGCTACAGATTGAGTCATGTTGGGTACGTCAAGAACTGAGGTCCCCTGGTTGAAACAAGTTTCATTCCTCATTGTTGGTCGATGAAATCCATATCTCATGACCCGACATGGAACAAAATACGTGGTCGAATATCACGAACAGTTGATTTTTGTTGAATTTCCCCATGCTTACAAAGTAATTAAATCACATAGATGCATGTTCCAAAAGATCCACATTTCTCTTTCCCTCTGGAAAAACACATTCTTCACATGACTGACCCCAACACCATTTGCGTTCCCATGAAAAACATTGAAAAACGACCAAGTTCTGATGATTTTGGGTTTCCCTCTAGCAGCTAGCATTATTTGTATGTATCCCATCATCCCCATAAGAGTCGTTGGTTTTATGTCTCATTTTGCCATTAAAACATGCCATCAATATTAATCATCAATCCTATTCTATTAGAACTCCCTGTAGAATACCAATAATCATCAATTAACATGAAACCCATAGGATCCATGTATGCTATATATGGTAACATTTACCATCAATATACCCCAAATGTTAGCATATATACCATACATGGATCCTATGGGAAATACCACAATCATATTCCCATATTGCTACAAAAACATACAAAAACCAGGCCATAAAGCCAACGATATCGCCGCATAAAACCAGGCATTATTCCCATCCAAAGAATCTAGAGATGCCTTAATGTTTACCCTCTGGTAAACTAACATAACTATGGAAAATCACCATTTTTAATGGGAAATTCCACTATAACTGGCCATTTTCAATAGCAAACTGTTGAATTACCAGAGGGTACCAACAAGAAGAGTGTCCCTGGTACATCATCCCATCCTATCAGAAACCCATCGACAGCGCACGTGGCCATGAGCCACGGGGAGATCCATCGACTCTTGCGGCCGCTGCCGCGCCAGCCGCCGATGGGGACAAGGTCCAGGGAATCGCCCATGGAATCCAAGTAGTCCTGCATCTCAATGGATTGGTTTAAGGGAAAATCTACAGGAAACCATGGTTTTTACCATCAAATATAGGGGTTTCCTGTAAATTTTCCCATCATCCAATTCTATGAACATCACTAATTTTGGGGTGTGGTTTTTTGATGTTGGGAAGGAAACAAAAAAACGGGGAAACAAAGTGGATGTTACATGCGGAACATTTTGTGGGTTGTCGGTTACTGCAATTTTTGATCTTACTTTCATCCAATTCTGGGAAGTGTTGGTGGATTTTCGGAGGTTTTTTCAAGGGGAAACCACCAAGATGTAGATTTCAGCCAACAGAGAAATGGATTTGAGAAACTAGTTCATACAAATGGAGGGATGGAATGGTCTTGATAGCTGGAAAAAAATGTTTGTTTGTTTTTTTCCAAATATGGGTCGCAAGTGCTGAGCATGCCATGCGTCTGAGTTTTTTGCATATCATGGGATCCTGAGTGTGTTCCTCATGTAGCTTTACCATGTAAGTTGGTGGTGTTTATGCTTAACATCTTTGTTCTTTTCATAACTCTTTTGAACTGGGTTGGGTCACTTGTAGAAGCAATTTCTTTCCTCTCTGCTTTGCTGTCGGAGATGCTCAAACAATCTTAAATGGATCGCCCGACATATCATGAATACACAACTGCGGTGCAAAGGTCCTTCTTGAGCTTCAACCAACAATCGGAACGCTTTGTGGAAGGTTCGTAAATGGAGTCAAGGTGTTTAACCTCGACCGTTGCGACCGCGGAATGAAAAGCATGCTGGAGACATCCTCACATCAACTCAAGTAAGTAATTATCTGCACAAGCAGGTATAGCTACATACAACTAACTGTTGACATGACCTCTTGGCCTTAACCACCAGGTTGGATCAGGTTGGTATTTTGATGATGATATCCTTGGAATGTATAACCTGAATATATCCTTGGAATCCATCCTTGATACCCAGGTTAGCCAGGGGGCCATCAACCCCTCGCAGGACGCGGCCACGGAGCGATGCAGAGCAGCCTCTGCAGCGAGATCAAATTACTTTCATGGATCAGAAGGTTCAACAAAAATATAAATATATTATATCGTATATTTGATTGTATCATATTGTATCTATATAAATGTATCTAATCCATTCTCCATTCAAATCTTATATAGAATTATATATCATAATACTACGTGTAAAATTGTGTAAATATATGCGGTATATCATATCGTATATAAATGTATCTACATATCATGTTAAGTAAAACATAGTAAAACTATGTACACTAATGTACAGTAGTATATTCGTTGGCACGAGGAAGTACAATCAAAGATGTCAGAATCCTGTGAAACACCAGCCCGCTTGGCCACTAATCAAGGTCGCATGATATGAGGCGTACCTGGGCTTGGTTGAGTTGGATTCATTCCATCTGTGAAGGATGGATGATGTAGAAAATCATGGCTGTATGAACAACCAACATGTATGACATACATATACGTATAATTATTATTAATTATTGCTGTTTGACCTGGGCTCATTTCACTTGTAGATTGTGACCCAAAAATGCAGCAATTCCACCCCGCACCTCAAGAACAGCCTCTGCTTTTCCTTCTGCCTGAGTAAGGCCCAGCAGGCAAAAGCGGAGGAAACTGCCCAAGTATTCATCAACACACCTAACAACCATCAACAATCACACCCAGGACCTCTCTAACAGCCAGCAGAATCACTCAACATGAAATTTCCGGGTTTCATCGCATCCAAGGCTCGATTTTGAGGTCTTCTGCTTCGGCAAAGGCCAACAAGTCCTGCAAGGATCGATGGGGGCACTTAGAGCCGGCCATAAAGCACGGCAACAAATAACACAATGACCACAAACGACTAAAGAATGGGCACAGAAACATAGAAAACAACAATACGGCATTTGTTGTTGTTTCCATTGACAAAGTATGATTTCTATTTTCAGTGGCTAAGTTCTCCAAAGGTTTTTGTGTACTCCAACCAACCTCTCACGGTGGCTCTCCTCAAGTTTCTCGAAATGTTGCTGCAGTTTCTCCCTTCGTTTCCCAAAAGGCAGAGCGATCAAAGACTCCTGGCACGGTCAAGACACGTCAGTGGAGCATTTTTCATGAACCAGGCCACAACCAATCAATATGTTCAAATTTGTTCATGCATATGGTTGCATCTTAAATAGTCTTAAATGAGAAACTTGGACCAACTATGACCAACCGATTCCGTGTCTCGTGTGCTTCATTTCGCCGTTTCCCAGCCTGGAAGTAGAGAAGATCAAACAGAAAGACCTTCACCTTGGAGAGATGCCAGAGATGGATGTCGGGCTGTTTTCGGGAAGCAACCAGCAACATGCATTCTGGATGCTACAAGTACCAAAAGCAAGGGATTGATTTGAAAAGTACGTCTTGATTGCTTATGTAGTTGGATCATGTTGGATCAACTTTGTAAACTCGTCAAGATCAAAACTGACTGTATATTGCATAAATTACATATCGGTGTGTGTTCAAATGGTTTGCGACACACACACACACAGCAATTTCACCAACGCGACACATATTTTGGTCCACTATTGCCCACATACCCACTCTTACTCAGCATCCTACCGAAAATTCACACATCACAAATCCAGCAGTGAGAACATTTTACGACATATTCACAGACATATTTCCACATCATTTCCTTAGGAACAAAAACAACAACTGTCTTTTCCAGATCCACCTTACCCCAGGGGCCCCAGGGACCCCAGGGTCCATCCAACCGCCAGGATGAACCATGATGAGCCACGGCCACGGCGGTGTTCTGCTCCGTGACGTTTTTGCGTTTGCGGGTGGACAGCGACTGAAAGGCCTCAGGATCAACCGTGGATGGTATACGGACAGACATACCCGGATTTTGGATTCATCCATCCTCCTAGTATTATTTTGTTTACCCAAGAAAAACACATTGTATGGTCCCAAATATGGTTAATTAAATTGTAAACCTTATATACACACTTATACTAAACTGAACCATGGTTTCTGGAGGTGTTTGATTCGGGGGACGGGATTATGTACTAAATGTCAAGTAGGTCAAGAACCTCCAAACCAGTTCATCATCAACCAACAGGGGTCTTGAAGACTGCCTGTCTGACTTACCGGTTAAATCGATTCGATTGGAGCTTTACGGCAGTGGGCTTGCATTTGACAGCAGCAAAGGTCATCCACTGACAAGTGTAGCAATCTTCAAACCACGAAAGAAAAATACAACTGCCCAGGGGCGTGTCCATCTTTTTAAGTTCAGAAACAACTTTCAACATGCGCCGATCAAACAAAATGCTTTTACCCAACAATCACAAAAGAGGAAATACCCTCTGGTAATTTAACATAGCTATGGAAAATCACCATTTTTAATGGGAAAATCCACTATTTCTATGGTCATTTTCAATAGCTATGTTAGTCATAACCAGAGGAAATAATGACAGTGAACCACCCACTACCCAGTCACATCCCCAAGTCAAGGCGCCGCAATGTCCACTTGGCTACCTGCCTCCTGGCCTGCCTTGCCATGATGTTTTTCGGAGAAAGAAGCAGCCAACAATAAGTATCAGTTAGGTAAACCCAAAGGGCTTCGTCTATAGGAACCAGATCTGAGGCTAAGAGCCTTACATAAACCAAAGACGTAAAGAACCAACATAAAACAACGTAAACGCAACATAAAAGCAAACACAAGTGAATCATAAACACATCGGAAACTCATCATAAACAGAACGCAAGTGAATCCACAATAAAACATAAAACGACTCATCAACAAAACACAAATGAATCCACAAACCATTCTGGCAGTCATGTGTCCCAACTGTCGCGCACGTGTTTCCATCTTCTCTGGAGGTGAGCGGAGTTATGTGACACAATGTTTGCTCTGTGTTTCACTTGTGTTTGACATACGCTTTGTTTGCGCAGCACTTGCGTCAGGCAAAAGTCTAAGATCTTATTCTGGGAAAATAAGATCTTAGGATTTTGACATACATAAAAAATACAAGCGAAACACAAACAAAACATAAACAAAACACAAATGTAGCATAAACTTGTTTATGTTTTTTTTGTGTTCTGTTTGTGTTTTGGTTTATGTTTTGTTTGTGTTTTTTTGTGTCAGTGATTTGCGTAAGGCCTTATTTTTATGTTTGTTGTGTTTTTTTGTGCAAACAAGCATTAAAAAACACGAAAAAACATAAAAATAAGGCCATACGCAAATCATCGACAAAAAAACAAATCAAACATAAACAAAAAATAAACCAAAACATAAACAGGACACAAAAAAACATAAACAAGTTTATGCTACATTTGTGTTTTGTTTATGTTTTGTTTGTGTTTCGCTTGTGTTTTTTTTATGTATGTCAAAATCCTAAGATCTTATTTTCCCAGAATAAGATCTTAGACTTTTGCCTGACGCAAGTGCTGCGCAAACAAAACGTATGTCAGACATATGTGAAACATGTGGGAGACATCAGTTTCACATTGGCTGCAGGTTTGTACCAGGTTTGGATTTCAAATTGGCAACTGCTTGACACAGGGGGGACGGCCAACTCATGTTTCACATATGTTGCAAATTTCACACACATGTTTTGCTTTATGTGTCACTTATGTTTCAATTATATTCCATTTTATGTTTCGTTTGCGTTCCACATGTGTTTTGTCTTATGTTTGACATATGTTTCATATACGTTTCACATATGTTCGTTTATGTTTCACATATGTTTTTACTTACGCCTAGACATAGTTTATGTTTACGTCATGCCCCGTCCACCCTCTATAGAAACCATCCCTGGAGCCCCTTTGGATCAAGCTAAAGTATCAGCAGTCACCATCAGCAACCATCATAGACAACGAACCTCATAATATCTCATATTCATAGCAGCAGTATTTGTGGATGGTGACTATCATGTTTGTGTTTATTTATTGATAATATTTGATAATGATCACAACTATCACAACGTATCACAACCATAGAAGTAAGAATCATCAACAACATCAGCTAGGCCCGGCATGTTCCACTTGCCTCCGCCTTCGGCACCACTGCTACCTGAAAATTTGTGGCAGGGGTGGTGGCTGTTGACCAAGTCATCCCAACCACATGGCGAATTATGGCTGGTGGTCAAATGAGATGGTCTTCAAAACCGACAATGAGGTGGGGAACGTCAATCGAATTAATAAACATGAGGTTGGAGATGTCACTCCATCCGCAAGAACATCGATAGGAACTCATCAACGGAAAAGGTAGAAACTATCCAAAATCATCCAAAATCCCCAACAAAGACATGGTCACACAAAAATGTGCTTCCAAGTAATGGTGAGGTTCGCAAACTTGAAAGAACCAACAGGATCAAAAAGCTATGTCCCTTCACATCTTCAACCGTCAACTTGAGAATGGCATGTTTTTTGTTACAGTAAGCATTCAGCATTGACAATCCACAACATGTGCAATCCTGTCCTTTATTTTCCAGTTTTGTTGAGGGGTATTGATGTCATGATCCAGCTCTTTACAAACATATGAACACATATCATCACATGATACCATTGTTTCTTGATATGCACGGACCAACCACCGCTGATAGCATATCTCGCTAAGACGAGCGGCTATCTCGGCATCCAACACGCACGCTGCTTTGGTCTTTTGAGACCGTTTCACCACGCTGACAACATCCGGATACCTTCCATTCGACAGGATGACAGCAGGTTGAAGTGAGTAAACACACAGTGTCTACGCCTCGTTCCTAAAAGAACGCAAACGACTTTCTGTATCTCTCTGTCGAGGTCCGTAATCGATCAGCTGTCATGAAATTCCAACTTCTACAACATAAGGAGGTGGTTCGCGCCAAACATAGCACCATGGAGCACTTGTAAGTCATATCGTCCAATTTTCGCGAAAAGATCTTCACAGTACCTGACTCAGACATGTCAGACATGTGAGCAAATGTGAGCGTTTCGATGATGTCCTACATGTCTATCTTCCTGGATCTTTCTGCAAGAAGGTCTATATCCTCTTTTGTCCACCTCTTCTGGTTGACAATTTGGGACCCCAGCAGGGTAGATGTAACCCCTTTTTCTGCCAGCAACTCCTTGATGTCCAAGTCGAGTCTTGCTGAACCCTAAGTTTTAACACATTATCCCAACCTTCAAGCATTGCTCACGTAACACCCCTGGAGGCGTCGGTCAACCCGCCAAGAAACAGTCCACATCGATTTCATCAACGGAGGTGGCTTTAGTCTCACCATAGCTAGGCAAATTGCATTCCATCAGTCAGATCAGGGCAGACCATAGATTACATCCCAGCCTATACACTTCTCCCTGGAGGCCAAATTCACCATGGATCTGCTGTGGATGGAGACATAGTATGTCTATGGATGTCTATGGTGTGTGCATCTTACTAAGGCTAAGGTATAATTACCACCCATCCACGAGACCAAACAACCACCGGCATCTGTGCTGTTTCAGCGCCAGGTTACCATTTTCCAAAACGTGAATCTGAGCACGCTGGCCATCATACCTGCTCCACGCCATGCTGGGGATTGGTATGTGCACAGCAGTGAGAAACCCGAAGACGCGTTGAACAAGATTGTCATACTAGTGCTATAGTATATATATATAGTCATATAGTGTTGTCTATCTGCAATTCTATATTATATATAATGTATTTGATCCAATCAAGCAGACACTAGTTGCGCTTTCATTGGGAGACCGACCAGACTCTTTTGCATGATCGAACAATAACAACTCTAAATCTTGTCGCCCACCCGTTCTGGCAGGTATTTGACACATCATCTCACCATTTCCAAACCCTTGCCCATATGCTCCGTCTCTGGTATCCAACTCTTACCCAATAAATGACCAGTTGTAAATGAAGCATACTTAGAGCTGGAACTGTAGTTTAAAATTGGAAGAACCCTGGTGAAAAAGTGAACACCACCTAAGTTACTAAGGTGAGACATATCTGCCCCTGGGACTATGTCAAAATACCCGCAAGTCTACCACCTATTAAATGCAACTGCATCCCCAAGAAATAGCTTAAAAATAACTCCTTCAATTGCTGCTGAGGCTCTTAAACTCCGCAGCCAGCGTGGCGCTCGCCTCAACCAGCATTTTACCTAATCCCTGAGGTCTCGGGCAGGGAGCACTCTATTTTCAAACAAATGTTGAACTACGGACAAATCAAAGCAAACACAGCTAGTCCAACACACCAATAAATGCTAAGGAACAACAAATACAGGATGATGAACATGCATCAAATCAATCAACGCAAAGTGTGCACACTCTGTAATGACTGAGTAGATTGAATAACTAGAAACTTGACACGCCTCTATGATCACATCTAACCAACATTTGAAATGATGTTGAACCCTCCTCAATAGGGAAACTTTCTCATCCACACTTTGGTTGGTAAAGCTCCCATTGTTTTGTGTGGTTGAGTCCCTATTTTGTTTGCTTCAACACCCAAAGCATGGCATTCTGGATCCTCAAAGTGATTTGCTTGGGCGCTTTTGGGTACCAGAAATCACTTATTTTTTTGCGGGTCAAAATCACCTTTTTATTGTCCATTTCCCCGGTTTTTTTGGGAGGTCAAACCATGTGTCAGCTGCGAAACCAATTGTTGGCTCATGATTTGTTGCAGCGAAACTCCCATTGCTTTTCATGGACAAATCCCCCCCATCGGAGCCATCCGACCTTTTCGGGCATGGAATTCAGGATGCGCTTCAGCAGCTCTTCCACGGAGGTGCAGGCCTGCCAGCCACCGGCTGGGAAAGCATGAACTACTATAAGTATCTATATGAGCTGCGGACCATATTTGTTACATAACGCAATTGACGGGGTGTTCCTACCTCGTTCTCCAGTCCCGTAACGTTTTTGCCTACCTCGTTCTCGGGGTGTTCCTACCTCGTTTTACAAGCTAAATACAATGTTTTTGACAAACCGGGGTACTTCCGAATACTACTTTCCATATACGCAAATAAGAGCCGTCGCTCATATGTATCTACCTATATCTACCTATTGGATCCTATTGGATGATAAACCATGGGGAAAAAACGGATAAACCCATTGGATTTTGATGCTCGATTCTCTAAGGCAATGGTATCTATAGCCACAAACAAGAAGATGCAAAAAAAATCAAATCCCACTTTGTGCCGTCTGGACAGAGGACAGCTGGTCCTACCTCAAATTCTGTCAGTTGTCCATGCTCGTGGAAAAAACACTTGTAAGGGCTGTAATGGGGTACGGTAAGGGTTTACTGATGTTTTGCTCATCATTTAATTCTGATATGTTACCAGCCCCGCAGATTGCATGGGCGATTTGGGGTCGTAGATTCCCGGAACCCCAGCCATGGGTTGAGGGAACATCTACAAATACCCTGCAAAAAATATTTGCCAGTTGGTCACTTATTTTTTGGACCTGGGTATGGATCAATACCTATTAATACCATTTTTAGTGGGATGAACATCCATTTACCAGCCATTTTGATGTTCACCAGGGGTACAAGGTTTTGACACACTGCCACCTAAATTTGAAGCAACAAATTTCCCAGATTTTCCAAACCAACTAATGTTCCCCCCAAAATTTTCAATTTTCAATCCATTGAATTTTGGACCCTCGGTTTTTTGCGCCTTGGCCAACATGGGCTGCATTGGGACACCCAATTGCAGGGTGCAGGACTCTCGCACTGCCTGTGCTGGAGCAATCATCTCAATTTTAGGAACCAAACATCCCTGAAGAATAAGATGATTGGTATTAATTAGTGTTAATTAGTATTAATTCATATTAATGCATCAACCAAAATTTCAAACAAACACTTATTTTTGATTTGCTTAAATTGCCTGTTGATCATGTTTGATCACCCAATTTTCCAAAACAACAATTGTTCATGATTTTCTTACTTGCCCTTTACATAACCAATATTCCACAAAACAATTTTTCCCTTTAAAATTAACACCCATATCGGGCCAAAAAATAAACGATTCCAATCAATTCAGCAGTCATTGTAGGGGGTATTTAACATGGCGGAAAAGGTTTTGTTATGATAACAATTGAACTTTCGGTTTGGCGGTCATTTGTTTTCAAAGTCATCAGGTAAATTTGAGGTTGAGGTGACACACGTATACCTTGAGACCATGGCCGGAAAGGCTTGCATGTTTACAGGAAAAGACATGTCCAAAGTGTTGGGGCAATTGCAAATTGTGTATATATAAACATGTATGGGTAAATTGTGATGTTTCACTAACCTGAAATAAGGCTATTTTGGGGATGATTTCCCTTACTAACCATGATTCCAGTGAGGTCGCAGTGAGGTCGTTATAATTTACCCATATATATATAATATAATATATATATATAGTGCCGGACATACACTTAGAACATATTTTTCCAAATTTTAAGATCTCACAATTAGAACCGCTTGTTTAAGGATTTTGCCCCACGCTTAGAGCATAAGACTTAGAACATCTGAGCAACATTGCCCCTGATGTTCTAAGTGTGGAGTCTTTGCAAGCTACTGATGGTTTTTGAACATTATCATACAGTATCACATCATCAACTCTGCGGACATTTCCGTTTTCTTGATCGCATCGCTGGCATTTCAAGCTACTTTCGATGCCTTTGTTTGGCAATGCTTGCAAACTTGATATGTACACGTCTCAGCAGATTTTCCCAAGTGTTGGTTGTATAGCGATCATTTCAAGCTAATGTTGATGCCTTTGTTTGGCAATTCTTGCACACCTCATATATACACATCTCTGTTGATATTCCCAAGCAGTTCCGCTTCAGATGTACCTGACAGGGATTCGTCTATGTGTGGAGGGAAACTCACCAAACGGCGGTTCTAAAGTGAGAGATTGGACAATTTGAAAACATTGATGTTCTAGGTAATTGTCCATTACTAAAAACGATTTCATATGTACGTTTCTATAGTTCGATAAGATAAATACTGCATGAAATTTATATACATATAAATAATTAAGAAAAATACGTGTATATATATATATGTTTTTTATTTATGTTTTTTTTGATTTTGATTTTTGACTGCAGCCGAAGCCTTGCTTCAGGGCCTGAGAATAAAGTACACTTCCTGCAGATCTATCGACAATGGCAACGAAGTAGATGCCGTCAAATGTTGGGATGATGTAGGTAAGCATTTGGGATGTTCTAAGTGTGGGGTCTCCACAGCAGAATGCTAGAATATACAACGGTCAGCCGAATTTTGAATCCAATGTGGAGCGGGTAATCTACTCATTTGATTCAGAAATCTTTGAGATGAGAACTTAACCCAAAGCACATTTGGAATCCCCATGCACATCAACACCAAAGCGTAGCTGAATCAATATTCATGCGTAGTTCAATATGGGATGTTCTAAGTGTGGAGTCTCCACAGCATAGTGCTAGCATGTAAATAAATAAATATAAATATATATATATTGAACTGTCAACCGAAGTTTGAATCCAATGTGGGACGGGTAATCTAATGATTTGAGTCAAAAATCTTGGAGATGCGAACTTAACTCGAAGCACATTTGGAATTCCCATGTACATAAACACTAAAGCGTAGCTGAATCAAAATTCAAGCGCGGTTCAATATGGGATGTTCTAAGCGTGGGGTCTCCACAGCATAATGCTAGCATGTATATTTTTTTATATATACAACTGTCAGCCGACTTTTGAATCCAATGTGGAACGGGTAATCTACTGATTTGATTCAGAAATCTTTGAGATGTGAACTCAACCAGAAGCAAATTTGAAATCCCCATGTACATAAACACTAAAGCGTAGTTGAATCAATGTTCAAGCGCGGTTCAATATGGGATGTTCTAAGTGTGGGGTCTCAACAGCAGAATGCTAGCACATATATATATATATAACTGTCAGCCGACTTTTTAATCCAATGTGGAACAGGTTAATCCACTGATTTGATTCAGAAATCTTTGAAATGTGAGCTTAACCCGAGGTACATGTGGAATCACCATGCACATCAACACTAAAGCGAAGTTGCATCAATATTCAAGCGCAATTCAATATTGGATGTTCTCAGCGTGGGGTCTCCACAGCAGAATGCTAGCATATATATTATTTATATATATATATGTATCAAACTGTCAGCCCAATTTTGAAATCCAATGTGGAACGGGTAATCTACTGATTTGGTACAGAAAGCTTTGAGATGTGAACTGAACCCGAAGCACATTTGGAATCCCCATGTACATCAACACTAAAGCGTAGTTGAATCAATATTCAAGCGCAATTCAATATTGGATGTTCTAAGCGTGGGGTCTCCACAGCATAATGCTAGCATATAAAAATATATCAAACCGTCAGCCGAATTTTGAATAAAATGTGGAACGGGTAATCTACTGATTTGATTCAGAATCTTTGAGATGTGAACTTAACCCGAAGCACATTTGAAATCCCCATGTCCATCAACACGAAAGCGTAGTTGAATCAATATTCATCAAGCGCAGTTCAATATGGGATGTTCTAGGCGTGGGGTCTCCACAGCAGAATGCTAGCATATCAAATATATATATATCTCTCTCTCTATCTATCTATCTATCAGCCGAAGTTTGAATCCAATGTGGAACGGGTAATCTAATGATTTGAGTCAAAAATCTTGGAGATGTGAACTTAACTCGAAGCACATGTGGAAATCCCATGTGCATCAACACTAAAGCGTAGTTGAATCAATATTCAAGCGCAGTTCAATATTGGATGTTCTAAGTGTGGGGTCTCACAGCAGAATGCTAGCATGTATGAATATATATATATACATATATATATATATGTAAACTGTCAGCCGAATTTTCAACCCAATGTAAGACGGGTAATCGAAGCATCAACACTAAAGCGTAGTTGAATCAACATTCAAACGCAATTCAATATGGAATGTTCTCAGAGTGAGGTCTCCACAGCAGAATGCTAGCATATAAAAAGAATATATATACAACTGTCAGCCGACTTTTGGATCCAATGTGGAAAGGGTAATCCACTGATTTGATTCAGAAAGCTTTGAGATGTGAACTTAACTCGGAGCACATTTGGACCCCCATGTACATAAACACTAAAGCGTAGCTGAATCAAAATTCAAGCGCGGTTCAATATGGGATGTTCTAAGCGTGGGGTCTCCACAGCATAATGCTAGCATGTATATTTTTTTGTATATACAACTGTCAGCCGACTTTTGAATCCAATGTGGAACGGGTAATCTACTGATTTGATTCAGAAATCTTTGAGATGTGAACTCAACCAGAAGCAAATTTGAAATCCCCATGTACTAAAGAGCAGTTGAATCAATATTCAAGGGCAACTCAATATGGGATGTTCCAAGTGCGGGGTCTCAACAGCAGAATGCTAGCATTTATGAGGCCTTGTCAAAACTTATTGTCTTCGCTTGGTTCCCGAAAATTGGGTGTCGCTTTTGGAGGGGGCCTATCGCTAGCCATGGTATTGCAAAAAGAGGCAAGGAAGAAGGACGGAAGAAGAAAGGAAAAGGAAAAGGAAAGGGAAAAGGAAAAGCAGAAGGAAAAGGGAAAGGAAAGGAAAATGATTGGGAAGAGGAAAAGAAAAGGAAAGGAAGAGGAAAAGGAAAGGAAGAGAAAAGGAAAAGGATTGGGAAGAGGAATGGAAAAGGATTGGGAAGAGGAAAGGAAAAGCATTGGGAAGAGGAAAAGAAAGAGAAAGGAGGAGGAGAAGAACAGGAAAGGAAATAAAGAGGAAAGGAAAAGGAATGGAAAAGAAATGGAAAAGGAAAAGAAAGGAAGGGAAGAGGAAAGGAAGAGAAAAGAAAAGGAGTAACGGCAAAGAAAGGGAAAAACGGAAAGGAAAAAGGAAAGGATCTATTTGTGGTCTGGTCTGGGGTTACTTTTTGAACAAATGGGTATCGCTAAGGTATCGCTAGAGGTATCCCTAATTTAGCCTCTTGCATGTACGTAACTTTGTGCAAAACAACTTCAGATGTGGACATTATGCACAATTATAGGTATCGCTTTTGGAGGGGCCCTATCACTACACAGTGTTTTGTGTATTTTCCAGACACCAGAGAACTCTCCTTACATAAGTAGTATACCAGAGTTTTGACCGTGCCTCATATGTTTTTCAATGTGTTTTGTGATGTTCTAAGTGTGAAGCTTCCCCAGGGTATGATACCACTGGCATTCAACCAGTTGTGAAGAACAGTCAAATCTTCGAGCTAACATCTGGTTTTCAATACAAAATATATGATTATGTCTACAGGACGTTCTAAGTGTGAGGCCTCTGCAGGGCACCGTGTGATTCAGTATCAAACTGGAGGTTCTAAGTGTGAGATTCGGGGATGATCTAAGTGTGAGAATCGCTTGCGGCATGAATCTTGTTTTTCTTCCAAATTATGTCCTAAGTGTGAGTCCGTCACTCTATATATATATATCATATATCCACATTTATATAGATGCATTTAATCTCTTTGGTGGTGCACAATTCCCATCATTTCCCCATTGTTGGTCCCCTTCATCATTCTGGGGTATACGTTGTCACGTTGTGCAGAATTGTTGCACGCACGATCTGGGTTGACACAACCTAGACGGTTACCAAAACACTGCATGGTTCCAAGTGACCTGCTTCAAACATATGTCAAATGTAAACCCAACATGCTTATTGATACAATATGATACAATGAAGATATGGCAACATGACCAGTGGCAATTTGAGCAATGTTTAAAGCCTTCTATCGTCTATCTACTTGTACTGGATGGTCAAAAACTCAATCCCTTGGATGGTCGAAAAGTCAATCCATGGTTCGCAACAGTCCGCCAAATCTTGGACCGTATCATTCATTGTCATTCCATATTATCAACATTTATCAACCATATTCAATAATAATCAACGGCACAGGGGCTTTGAAAAAATGAACGCTGCTCAATGGGGAATGGGTCAAAACCCTGGTACCTAGTGAACCCCAAAATAGCTGGTAAATGGATGTTCATCCCACTAAAAATGGTATCTATAGGTATTGACCCATACCCAATGGACTCCACCCTCCCCTCTGGCACCTCAACACCGCCGCGCAACAACGCCTCCACCAGCGCGTGCACGTCCGGCCGCAAGGCGTAGCCGTGGCGGACCTGGCGCGGTGCTGGTGGTGCTGGTGGTGGTGGGTGGCCATGGAAAAAAGTCATAACTTTAAGCAGCAAAATTTGATTTGAATTTGATTTAACCAACAAAATCGTAGGACATTGTTTGGTTCACAAAAAAAAAGATGGAAAACGGGTACTTATTTATTTGAAGTGGTGTTATACGCTGGTAACAAACAAAAACCATGCCCGGCCTCTTCCTGCACGGCGCGCAGGGCCTCTGCAGATGGTCCTCGGTGCCATGCTGTTCGGTGCCGGGAGTGCAAGGGGAACACTGGAACTTCCAAATATTGAAGTAGATGATAGTATATAGATGTATAGGTTGATATTCATGTACTTATTTGATGATTATCTCTATAACTATATATTTATATATATAATACACACATATTAATATATATATATACTTACTTTTATTGCAACAGTATATTGTATATCATATCAATCATCTTAAATAAATACAGGTTCTTGTCCAAACAATCCCCTTCTGAATATATGTAGCCACACACTGGAAGCAGTCCAGGCATGGCCATTTCCAAAACCGGCGCGTCTTTTCCCGGATCGAAGACTTTGCTTCGCCGTGCTTCGCCAGATCTCCTTCACCAAACAGATCAGATTTCCTACGGAAGATGGAACTTGATGCTGTTTAATTTGGTTACTTGAGGTAGCAAAGCCTGAAAAAACAAAGATCACGCACCAACTTGAAGAACAAACGAAATATACAATTCATTTATGCTGTGGTCTTGTTGGTTTAATGAGACATCTTCAAAGACTGTGTTTGTTTCGTGAAGTTTTTCTCTTCGAGGTTTCACAGGAAACTCAATCTCCCTGCCTACGCGCGGGGGCGGCACACATAGCAATCGTTAAAGGTGTCAAACTCCATTTCCACTACCTCAGCAGGACACAGCACAGTCTCGACATCTAGGATCAATGCGCTGCTTTTCCTGGCCATCTTGGCTGAAGAGACATTACCCGCAGTATAGTATGGTGGTACTGTGTCAACATGGCGTACCATTTGTTTGAATGGTTTAACATTGGCTCCATGTACATGTATTGTGTATTATATATATAATTATATGTATATATATATATATATATTATGCTCATGAGTACAACAAAAACACATACACACTTAAAGAAACACTGTTTTTTGAGGGGGGATGCTGAATTTCACCTACTATGACCCACCTATTTCTGTGCCCTCTCGAACTAACTGTGGGCGTCTGTCCTGGTTCTGATTGTGCTATTTGAATCCATTTGATGTTTAGTTGTATCCCAATTTCAGTTGGTTGAGGCGCTCCAGAGCCCTGAAACATCAACGCGGTCACTCCATGTTTGCACCATACCAATCATTGTCCTATTGTGAACATCTCCTCTTCGCTTGGTAGCATCACCCAATTTATGTTTCTTCAAACCATTCATTGTTGGTTAAACATCCCTATGCTTAAGCCCCCAGCAGGCCCTGCCTCGACTTCAAAGCCTGCTTCTTGCAGCATAGAAAGTGCTTTCTGCCGACCCCACATCATTCCTGAGCTGCTACAGGTTGCACCTCATGTCTTTGAGGTTAAGGCCACTGGACACCAAGCTGGCAAACAAATCACTGGCTGGAGCAACCTATAGAGAAGGAAGTGCAGAACTGGAATGCAATACAGGAGTCCTTTCAGAAAGTCATATAGATTCATATGGCCTCATGTGGCCATATAATATAGCTTCCAAATGCACTGTCTTTCATATCGCCTTGCAGCCGTTTGCAAAATGGTTTTCAAATGTTTTCAATGCATCCGGGAGTCCAAGACCAGGACCCCCATCGTTCATCCCCTGCGGCATGCAGTGCATCCTTAGCTCGCAAGGACTGCAAGAGGACATGTTTAAGAAACCACTCACAATTGAACCAGAAATGGGTGGTGTAAACCGTCCCGAAATGAGAAATCCATTGCTGGGTTAATCACTTTATATTCATATAATGTATCAGAGTATCTGACCCTGACAGAATCTGTGAAAACAGGTTCAATATTCTCATGGTATCATTTGTTTTCACCTTGTGATTCACCTTTTGTCATAAGAGTCCAAACCATGAAATCAAAGAATCAGCTTTGCGGTTGTGTATGAACCATGTAATGTTTCCAGTGCCCGAATCATGTTTAGAACTTCTACAAATCTCCACCAGGTTACGGGAACACCGACACGTGACTCACATGGACTTCCGCGGCGAGTTGCAAAGAGACGGTGTAGAGGAAAGGCGCCATGGGGTGCCCCAAGTTTTTCGCAACACCTGCGGGACCACCCCCGTGAGGTCTACCCTGGTACAGCAAGCATTAAATATAGGACAAACTACATGGATGGTTTGTGAAGGTTGTATAATTTTGGGAGCACATCATATATAATTATATTATATACACATAATATCATAATACAATATGATAGTTCATGATATACACAAATTGTTTTTCATATTATACAGTTATACATGCAAACGTGTGTTATCCGGCGTGGCGCCGGCCTGTCTCTGCCCGAATGTCCACCATCACGAAGATACCATCTGCCTAGAGCGTCGTGGAAATGGCACAAAAACATGTTGGGTACCTTCGGTAATTCAGTTTAGCTATGGAAAATGGCACATTCTCAATATTTATAGCTGATTTCCCCTTGAAAAAATTGTGATTTTCCATAGCTATGTTAAATTAACAGAGGGAATACAGAGGGAATTGAAAGACCCTCAAGTCCACAGATTTCAGCACCCAATTTGAAGCCGTCACTTCAGGGCTCACTGCAATTCCCAAGCAAGGCGGCTGGATATGATACATATCCCCAATCAACCAGGTATGGTGCAAAAGACCTGCATTTGCCCAAAAACATCATCAGTTTCTGCAGGTACTGTCAATATACCTTGGGCCATAGTCACCACCAGCATCAGAGAAACTATTTTCCCCTGCGCACGATATTATACATATATATACACAGCAACCCCCACTACAGTATCCAGGCTTCTTGGGGGATCATCCAAAACATCGCCTGTTGATCGTTAACAAATGTCCTACGTCCGATGGATTTCTACCTGTTTGCATACCCATTTTTTTAATGAGGGGGGGGGCACAGAAAATGCCGAGTCATTGAGTGGCCTAAAATTGAGGGGGGGGCCACACTAATCAGAGCCTAACATTATACATCATTGCGTGTTTGTGTGTGTGTATATACGTGTATATATATATATATACCATCTGGTTATTTAACATAGCCATGGAAAATGGCCCATTTATAGATTATTTTCCCATTAAAACCTCCATTTATAAGGGATTTTCCATGGCTATGTTAAATAACCAGAGGGTATATATATATAAATGATGGACCATGCCTTCTGGTGTGGGCATGTGGGTGTCACACTGGAATAATTTTTTTATTATCCCAGTGTCTATGACCTACACTGGAGCCATTATTATTCTGAGGTGATCCACATCCAGAATAATTTGGTTTTTTAAAATGCAGATTTCATCTCCAGGTTTGTTCAAGTATGACCCAAAAACCATGTCAACATTCGACCCAAAAACCATCTAAACATTCGAATCTTGTGTGATCAGTTGGAATGCAAAATGCTTGTCGCAGTCTCAGGCTCCGTTTCGCGAAAAAAATCTGAACCGGTTCCAAAGGTTGTATCTAATTGTTAGGCCACCTGGTGTCCCACTCGTTCTCGCGTCATTTTTGTCCTATTGCGAATTTCTGAACGGCATCTTGTCTTTTGCATCTTGAACCCGTGATGTATCTTGTACAATCATACAGCTTCTATTTCTAGTTTGACCAAGAAAGATCGAGAAACTTTAAAACCTAATTTAACAAGTGACCTGAGGAACCGTTTCTTGACGCCAAGAAACCAATCTCAAGGTCACTTGTAAAAATTGGGTTTGAAAATTTGAAATCCTCTTGACTTTTGCTGGCAAAATGACGGAAGTCGTTTTGAGGGATTTTGCATGAGTAAGAAAGCGAAAATGCATTGATCACCAACCTTCTTCCCTCAAAATTCTATCTCCGAAACCACCCGTATCCTCACCTGCACGCGTGTAAATATATTCTTGCTGTCAACATATGTTTGGCACCCCTGTTGTATATAGGTTTAACCTGTAACATATTTTTCTGGGCTCAAGGAATGTCAAGGAATACAGGATGTTGTGTTGATGTACTGTCAATGATTTTCAATTCAACATGCAGTGATCCTCAGCCCTTTCCCACCAATATTCTACCTCCGAAACCACCCGCATCCTCCACCTGCGGGTGTCAAGATTACTCCTGGTGTCAACATACCTCTAGGACCCGTGCTTTACAGAGGTGTAGCCTGTAGAGTCGCCTGCGCAGTTTGTAAATTGCTCAAGCCCTCTCTGCCTGGTTTCAAGGATGCGCAAAAAGGTCTCGAGCCATGTGTTTAACATTGCTTAACACTGTTTAATGCGGAATTCAACAGCCCAAGATGTTTGCTCACGTTTTTTCACCGATTTTCAAACGACAATGCAATGATCATCAGCCCTCTTCCACCCAGAATCTACCGCCGAAAAGATCTGCAGAAAGGTCTCGAGCTATGCATCCAACATTGTTGAATGCAGAAGCCCACAGGGAAAGTAATGCAAGATGCTTTTCCACACATGGCAAAGAGCAATGAGCTGAAAATGGGCTGATCATCAAGCCTTTTCCATCAATATTCTACTTCCGAAACCACCGGCATCCTCCTCCACCTGCACGCGTCAAAATTATTCCTGGTGTCAACACATGTCTGGCACCCCTGTGCTGTAGAGGTTTAACCTGCAAAGTGGCCTGCTCTGTCTGTAACTAGCTAAAGACTAAAGCCCCTCCATTTTTCTGGCTTACAGGATGTGCAGAAAAGTTTCGAGATGTGTGTTTAACATCGTTTAACCTTCTTTGATGCAGAATTCAACAGGGAAAGTAATGTAAGATGCTTTTCCATAAGTTTGAACGAGTTATGAAATAAAAATGAATTGATCTCCAACCCTTTTCCACCAATATTCGATCTCCAAAAACCATCAGCATCCTCCACCTGCACGCATCTAAATTATTCCTGGTGTCAACACATGTCTGCCACCCGTATGTTGTAGAGGGTTAACCTGCAAAGGCATCAATATTCTACTTCCGAAACCACCAGCATCCTCCTCCACCTGCACGCGTCAAAATTATTCCTGGTGTCAACACATGTCTGGCACCCCTGTGCTGTAGAGGTTTAACCTGCAAAGTGGCCTGCTCTGTCTGTAACTAGCTAAAGACCATCCTTTTTTCTTGCTTACAGTATGTGCAGAAAGGTATCGAGACGTGTGTTTAACATCGCTTAACATTCTTTGATGCAGAATTCAACAGGGAAAGTAATGTAAGATGCTTTTCCATAAGTTTGAACGAGTTATGAAATAAGAGTGAATTGATCTCCAACCCTTTTCCACCAATATTCGATCTCCAAAAACCATCAGCATCCTCCACCTGCACGCATCTAAATTATTCCTGGTGTCAACACATGTCTGCCACCCGTATTTTGTGGAGGGTTAACCTGCAAAGGCATCAATATTCTACTTCCGAAACCACCAGCATCCTCCTCCACCTGCACGCGTCAAAATTATTCCTGGTGTCAACACATGTCTGGCACCCCTGTGCTGTAGAGGTTTAACCTGCAAAGTGGCCTGCTCTGTCTGTAACTAGCTAAAGACCATCCTTTTTTCTTGCTTACAGTATGTGCAGAAAGGTATCGAGACGTGTGTTTAACATCGTTTAACCTTCTTTGATGCAGAATTCAACAGGGAAAGTAATGTAAGATGCTTTTCCATAAGTTTGAACGAGTTATGAAATAAAAATGAATTGATCTCCAACCCTTTTCCACCAATATTCGATCTCCAAAAACCATCAGCATCCTCCACCTGCACGCATCTAAATTATTCCTGGTGTCAACACATGTCTGCCACCCGTATTTTGTAGAGGGTTAACCTGCAAAGGCATCAATATTCTACTTCCGAAACCACCAGCATCCTTCTCCACCTGCACGCGTCAAAATTATTCCTGGTGTCAACACATGTCTGGCACCCCTGTGCTGTAGAGGTTTAACCTGCAAAGTGGCCTGCTCTGTCTGTAACTAGCTAAAGCCCCTCCATTTTTCTGGCTTACAGGATGTGCAGAAAAGTTTCGAGACGTGTGTTTAACATCGTTTAACCTTCTTTGATGCAGATTCAACAGGGAAAGTAATGCAAGATACTTTTCCATAAATTTGAACGAGTAAGGAAATGAAAATCAATAGAAATCAATTGGTCATCACCCTTTTTCCACCAATATTCGATCTTCAAAGCAATCAGCATCCTCCACCTGTACGCGTCTAAATTATCATGTCCGGAACCCGTGTTTTATCATCGCCCCTGCAATTACAGGGGGTCCTTGGTACCTCTGATTCTGGAAAGAGTTGCAGGGCGTATTCAAGCCTAAACAAACAGGGGTGCCAGACATGTCCTGACACAAGGAATAATTTTGACGCGTGCAGGTGGAGGACGCGGGTGGTTTCGGAGGTAGAATATTGGTGGAAGAGGGCTTATGATCATTGTAAGTTGACTTGAAATTCATTCAAAACGCATCAGAACAACATCCTTCATTCCTTGACTTCAAAAAAAGAAGCCGTAGCTAGTCCTATGTAAGCTACAGGTTAAACTTATACAAAACAGGGGTGCCAGACATGCGTTGACACCAGGAATATATTTCGACGCCCGCAGTTGGAGGATGCGGGCGCTGTCGGATATGAATTGGTGGAAGAGGGTTGGTGATCATTAATTGCATTCACAACTGAAGCTCAAAATACATCAGAATGATCTCTTTGATTGCTTGATATTCCTTGAGGCCAGAAATACACAAATGCTGTGTACAGACTGCGCAAGCTACTTTACAGGCTACACCTCTATAAAGCACGGGTCCTAGAGGTATGTTGACACCAGGAGTAATCTTGACGCCCGCAGGTGGAGGATGCGGGTGGTTTCGGAGGTAGAATATTGGTGGGAAAGGGCTGAGGATCACTGCATGTTGATTTGAAAATCATTGACAATACATCAACACAACATCCTGTATTCCTTGACATTCCTTGGGCCCAGAAAAATATGTGGCTAGTCACAAGCTATCTAAGTTACAGGTTAAACCTATATACAACAGGGGTGCCAAACATATGTTGACAGCAAGAATATATTTACACGCGTGCAGGTGAGGATACGGGTGGTTTCGGAAATAGAATTTTGGGGGAAGAAGGTTGGTGATCAATGCATTTTCACTTTATTACTCATGCAAATTCCCTCAAAACGACTTCCGTCATTTTGCCAGCAAAAGTCAAGAGGATTTCAAATTTTCAAACCCAATTTTTACAAGTGACCTTGAGATTGGTTTCTTGGCGTCAAGAAACGGTTCCTCAGGTCACTTGTTAAATTAGGTTTTAAAGTTTCTCGATCTTTCTTGGTCAAGCTAGAAAAAGAAGATTTAGTTATTTACAGGTTATGCAAGATACATCACAGATTAAACCTATATAGTTCGTTCCAACATTTGAACCGTTTGATGATATGTTATAACACATAATTTCATGCATTTTGAAAGGCTACATATCAAAATTATTCCAATGTCTATCCACATCCTGTTGTTTCTTTTAACCAAAATTATTCCAATGTCTATCCACATTGTTAACCAAAATGATTCCAATGTCTATCCACATTGTTAACCAAAATTATTCCAATGTCTATCCACATCGGTAACCAAAATTATTCCAATGTCTATCCACATCGTGTTGTTTCTTCTAACCAAAATTATTCCAATGTCTTGCCACCTACACTTTGCCCATAGTGCCTAAAAATTATTCCCAAGGAAATTATTCTGGAAAATTATTCCTAGATGTAACATCCACATCGGAATAATTTCGGATGGTATGGGTCATGAAAAAACAGAATGAGACTATGAATGGGGGATCGAAACTTCATTTATCTTCGTTTACCTTTTCGCTCATCAGATGTGGCAAGCTGGGAAATCCCGGAACATCCTGGAACTAAACGGAGGTTCCTGAATCGTAAAATCATCGAACTAAACAGTGGATTCTCCAGAAAACCATGGTTGATTACTGGAGGGTACGCATCGCACCGAGACGGACGGGTCGAAGCGGAAAAGTTTCCGCCAAGTGACTCAAGAAAGGATGTTTCAAAGCCTCTGAGGCTGTAGGTCTCAAACAAGGATCCACCTGTGGCACAAGGGTCTCACCGGGGCACCTCACTAATAAGCAAGAACTCCCAATTCCCAGCCAATGGTTTTGAAATTGCAAGTTGTGGGTGAAATGACTTGAAATGTTTAGCCTTCAGCCGGACAGGGTCCAATTTTACATCGGACCATGGATCAGTCTACGACATCGTAGACCAAGTAGTTCCGCCTTCTACATCCTGAAATTTGCCTGCGCCTGATGGCCTAAAAATTGTGGACGCAATATAAAGTCAGGTAAATAATGTATATGAAATATATACATATTATACAAATAAACATATATAATTTTATATATATATATACGCGTAAACTGTAGGTTTTCCATGGTGTTCCAGGTGGTGTCTTCATGGCCCTTCAATGTCTGCTATTCCAGGAATGACCTTCACATCATCCCCCCACAACGTCCATGCCTGTAACAAAGAGCTTAAGAAGTCCAAGAAGGCCTGCAGGGAACATGTCCCTCAGGGTATGGCTCAATTTTGGGCGATCACCAAATAAGTTGCCGATGTATATGGGCCACGGTCAATATTTAATATATACCTCCAAACCATCAAAAA